ATTGGAATCGCTTGCGATCCGAAATGTTCATATGACTGCGAAATTATAAATGTACTGATTTGATGACGTCAACTGCGGCTGCAGGCCGGGTCACGCGAACTATTATAGTTTACTCACGAGTAAGCTTTTCATGAATCAAACTTCCAAGTTGAACATACCTAAATTTACAGTCCATGTTCACACCGCATTAGCTAGATGCATTAGCTAGAATGAGGCGATGTTCATTAGCGGCAAAAAGACAGGCGATGAGTCATTTGCTCGCACAGATGAGAGCCCACTCGCCGGTGTCGCTTTCAAAGAAATCAAATGCAACGACAACGAAACGTGGCCACCACGACCTACACTGCGTGGCGATTCATGTTAAGTGCGGGTATGTTGTGTCCCGTGTTGTTTCGAACAATGCATATAATTGATATCGCTGAAAACATAAAATAAACACCTTTGCGATGGATTTTCAGTGTTAGCTTTCACATTTTGATGCCCATTTCAGGCGTCAGTACACTTATGTGCCACGGGTGTAAGACGACAGTGGCTGCATGATCTGTTCCCAGTAATTGTGTGCCTTCGACTAGTCTAATGTCTGAGTATCGCCTCTGAGCCTTCAGTCTACGCTGAGATTGCCTTTGGTGAAGTGCAGAACAAACCTACGCGCTTTTAGTGAGAATTCAGTTTTCTCGCGTGATCGCTACAATGCAGGCGCTCTTTCTATCGTCATCGGTCAGAAAACGGAATGTTTTGACTAGCATATAAAATTAATTTATGCATGTAGACTGCATGCTGGCTTGACACAGCTGTGCTCGAGTTGCCAGCGCTTCAAGGAACAATTTTATACGCATAAAACGTCGGAACACAAGCAGCCCGAGCCAGCAACAAACACTAAACCACGCAAAGACAAGCGAAACTGGAAGCTTCCAGGGGTGGTTTTCCGGTGAACGCCCAATGTTGCTAGAGATCAGCAGGCTCTAGCAAAATCATCTATATGTTCACAATTATATCAGGATACCACGGCATAGATCCCCAAAAATGAACCTCTCTACTGTTAACGAGTAGACATTATGTAGCCCTTTTCGAAATCTCTTCAATATTTGACACAATTTTTGTCATTTCCTTCAGTATTAAAGGGGCTAAAAACCAAGGAATGCTAATTCTCCCAGCAGCCAAGAGCATTTTTGCAAATAGTTTTTCCCTGTCGCCTCAACCTGGTTCTTGGAAGGCATGTGATAAACTGTCAGGAGCGAGTCTCGTGTCCTCACTTATGGCAAATTTCCTTTTTCACAAAGCATTGTTCTTCACTTCTAGTTTAATAGCATACTGCTAAAAAGTTGGGCTAATGATTATTGGTTATGAGGTTTAATCTTCACCCTCATGCAACTTCCTTTCACAATCACTGCTCCTGGAAGATGCATGTAACCTGCAATGGACGCCTAAAAAAGCACCTCAGACTGCAATAATGCAGGTGCTGCACCTCTGGGGCACATGGCCACAGTGGGAGGGATCAAGGCTGAGGTTGCCTAGAGACCACTGACAGGCTAAAAGGTATCAAAACAGCTCAATTAAAAATGGACTGCAATAATTTATTTTCCAACTTATGGCAAGAAACTTTCTCTGGCAATATTTTGTCAACTCTGAAAGAGAGAAATCGAGTAGTTGATCCTTTAAGTTTAAATACAGATCTGTGTAAATAAAGCGATTTTATACATCATTGTAACATGCTCATACACAAAGCAACGTTATTACCATGAACCTAAAAATCCACACACTTAGTATGACTTAGGTTCCACACTTTACTGACTAAGAGCCCTGGAAGTACCCGACACTGCTTGTTTTTTTTTTACGTAGTATTGACATAGCCGGTGACAAAAGCATTTGTCTCTACAATGAGCTACTCAGCAGTCTTTTTGGAAGCTTGGGAGTGTTTGCAGCTAACCCATTTTTACCGGGGCAGTCATATACAGTAGAACTTCTGGCGCTGGTGAACAATAACCATTAGGTGATATGCAGGTCGTTTTTGAAGATTTTCCTATTTCATGTAGGACATGGGACAACAGCTCGCAATGTGAGACAGCCCCGTGAATCGTGGGACACCATAAACCTTCACAAATGAAAGATGCCAGTACACTGGTGCCATATGCAGAATGTACAGGAAAACTGATATGAACATTTATAGACAAAATTATATTTACTGTCCCACCTCTGCAGCCTCTCCCTTATGCTAAATTGTATAGATGTATAGAACACTTGCACTGAAGTCATTAAACAGCCACACTAAAACACCAACTTGGTGGGATGCCAACACAGTGACGTCATGCAAGTATTACCAGTACACTGCATGCTGGTTCCTTCATTATTCATCAACGGCGACCCAATAAGATTTCAGCGACATCATTATCACACTGAATTAGGCTAACCACAGCGTGCTAAGCCATCGTGCTGTGCATCTGTGACATCACATACAAGCTACCAATACACCTAGCTTTTGTTAGGTATTCTGCAGCAGCGATTACCACTTCCTTGAATTTTTCATTAAGCACACTGACAATTACACCAGCTGGACTTACCTCTGGGTCTTTTTTGCTGGTGTTACTGCTGTCACCCTCCTTCAGAATGGCAACAACTTGAGGGTGAAATATGCGAGAGTCCCTTGGTGCAACGAGGTATGCCAACACTCTGAGCCCATGTGCATCCATCAATAATTCAACAGGCTCTTTCAACAACTCTGCAATAATGGTTCCTTCGATGAGTTTTGTGTCGTCCACAAAATCAAATATGGATAGAAGTATCATATAGCCATGCTCTTCTCGGGCAATTTTGGCAACGTACGTTTTGAACGACTTGATTATCGTCTTTCGGTCTTTTGCAGTTCCATGCCAGATGCACTGCATGGCGACACGTGCACCATCCTTCGTGTGCACCATTTGCACAAGCGAACCTCCAAGTGCTCGAATCATTTCGGACTTGGAGTTGGCATCGGCACTTTTGAAAAATTCGAGCATGAGATGGTGTATGATACTGTGCCGAAGCACTGGCTTGTCAATGATTTTCATGAGTGTCTCCTTCAGATTTTCAATCATTTTGGCAGAATCTGGGGATTCGGCTAGGGCATCTGCAAAAGTGATGACCTTGTCTCTCTTGAACAGGGCGAAATCGCGGCTGTAGAACTCCTGCAACATTAGGGAACGCTGCAAGGCATTGGCATACTCGTTGTAGATGTCCTCTAGGATGGCCGCAGCATCTACATGGTGCAGTAGACTCACGACTTGTGTGCTGAATGCTCGAATAACGTGCTGTTTCTGTTCAGCTGAACCGTTCCGAAGAATCTGCTTCACCATGAACTTGGCGTATTTAGACTTTGTCATTGCAATGATGATGTCTTTGACCTCATCAAAGATCATATTGCGGTGAACTGGCGTTCCCAAGTGTTCCATGCATTCGATCACTCTGGACGTGTCATGTGCGAAGATTAACTGCTTTATATTACCCTTGATTACTTTGGCCAGCTGGTTCAGCAACTCCTCGCGCCTTTGCGGTGTGCAGGACTTCAGTCGCAAATCTTCCCAAATTCGTTTCGCTGCTTTGGAGATCTCGTAGAACTTGTTCTCGTGCTTCTTTCGTTCTTGTTTTCTCTCCTTCTTCTTCATTTCAATCAGCTTGATTTTCTTCGGCTCAGATGCATCATCGCTGTTGCCTTCTGGACCACGCTTATGTGGACGATGATCTAACTGGTCGGTCGCACTCTTCGCTTCATCAGCAGCTTCGCTCGGTACTTCACTTATTGCTTGCGCCATTTTGCGATTAGCACTGCCAGATTTTCCATGCTTGCCAAGCTTACCAGCTGTAGGTGGGAATATTTTCCGGCTGCCGGTTTTCGCATACTTGCCTTTGACGTCTCCTGCTGGTTCACCACTCTTCACCTTTGGAGATAAATTAATGTCAACACGTTTTTGCTTCGGCAACTTCGTTACATTGTAGGACTTTGGTGGCGGAACTGCGGCAGTATTGAATGCACTTTTTTTCGTTTTCATTGCGCACAGCACGGGCCTAACTAAACTCGGACAACAAACACGTTGAGCGCCTGAACAACACGTGCAATCACCTCCGTGCGTGCAATGAATGTTTCCTTCATGTCGATGGTGACACGGCCAGACACGGCAGCCACAATGCTTACATACACTTTATACAAGTTTAAAACATTGTATTATTTTAACATTGTTTGTAATCTAAAAAAGTTTATAAAGCATATTTATGTCTGCAAAATAATGTAATTATTGGCAAAATTTCTAAAATTTTTTGGCATCACGTGTTTAGAGCCAATATGGCATCAACACGATCCAAACCAACACAATCAAAGCCATTTGTTGCAAAGAGGTACCGATGCTATGGTGCTATGGTACCATACCGATGCTGGAGTAGGGTGGCTAGCCCATGACCTACTACACTCCTGACCTGCCCAGAGAGCACCTCTTCCAGCGCCCACGTTCTAGTTCATACCTTCTGCCGCTAGGGCCGTCACCTACGAGCGGCGTGGCGCTAGGCAGCACCTGTTCGCTGACGTCACCTTCACTCTTTGTAGTCAAATTTTAACCAACAAAGCACTCGTAGTGCGAATTTATGATCCACAATTTAGAAATATCCAGAAATAATAATACTAAAAGACATTCAGAATTTTTTTTGCAATAAAATGCACGCGACAACGCATAGGCTGTCCAAAATCATGTAAATCCACGGGTTTCCACGTTTGTCAACCAGTGTGCTATAAATTCTTAAGCGCACTGAACAGCTTACTTGACCAGCAATGTATGGGAAGAAATAGTCACATATATGCCGACAGTTCACCACAGAAAGCAGGCATTCTTATACCAGCGCCTACAAAACAACCGTAAAGAAGCAGACGAACAGGTTATAGGTAGCGCCACCTACGGCGAGCGATTGAACGAGAGCGGGGACACGCGCTCCCATAGGAACCCCGCTATCTGAACAGGTCAGGAGTGTAGTAGGTCATGGGCTAGCCACCCTAGCTGGAGCAAGGTCGACTGTAAGGTTTGTTTCAGTTCATGCTTATCTTTTTGTGAGCTTCCAAACCAGTTCTTACAACAACGCTGCTTCTTTAGAAAGTGCCGTAAGCATTTTTTTTTATTTTTTTATCAACGTTTTCGAGAGGTGCTTTTCCACGGATCATAGCAAGATACCAAGTACGGTGGGCATTTCGAGATTTAACCGTTTTATCGGCCGTTTGATCTGACTACGCCGTGTCCCTAATGCACACCTTCGTTGTATGGAAAAAACATGAACCGCTTGAGCGTTCTCAAAAGTACTAACTCGCAGAGGTGGGCGTAGCGTTTTGTACCTTTTTCTTGTGAAACTTATTTTACCGATTCTCACGTAGTTGATATTGCCTTGAAAGAACGAGATCATTGTGATAGTTCCGTAATTTACTACATAGCCGTCGTATGATATTGGCGAAAATGTACGCGTATGTCAGATTTCTTCTCAGTGGCTCTGATAAGTAGGTTTTTGGTAATTTAGTGACTGTCCCTTTACGCGCGGAAATTCGAAGTGGCACAACTGGGTGCTTATAGTTTTTGTAAGTAGTCGTATACCTTCTCAATCTCTAAGTTCCAGGTGACTAGTTTTTTTTTTTTTTTTGTTTGTTTTTCGTTTGTCGTGTAGCTGTATCTACTAGATGGCCCCGCCGCGGTGGTCTAGTGGCTAAGGTGCTCGGCTGCTGACCCGCAGGTCGCGGGTTCGAATCCCGGCTGCGGCGGCTGCATTTCCGATGGAGGCGGAAATGTTGTAGGCCCGAGTGCTCAGATTTGGGTGCACGTTAAAGAACCCCAGGTGGTTCCGGAGCCCTCCACTATGGCGTCTCTCATAATCAAATGGTGGTTTTGGGACGTTAAACCCCACATATCATCAATCAATCTACTAGATGTATTGAGATAATAAAAATAGAATTGTAATTGAAAGTTGTGCAACTGTCAATTTACTTGACCAAGCTTGGCTTAGAAGCAAAATATAAATGTGCATCCACCTCCCAGCTGGTGTCATCATGCCCATCCTGCACTGCATAAAGGCCAAACTTCATAAGCGCGAAAATGCACGCGACAAGCGACGCGACGTAGATCGGCTTCGCGCGATCAGTCGCTAGTGCAGGCAAACCTCATTCACGCGACGGCTTCGGCGAGCGAATTCCACTGTTGCTGGCATTAGGCCGTCTATTCGCACCAAAAAAACCGCGTAGTGAGCGGTATGCAATTTAAAAATAAGATATATTGTTGTGTAATGAAACGGAAAGTGTTTATTATTGCCTTGCAGCCCTTTTTATATGCACATGCATAATAAACATTGCGTTATTTCTTGTTGCACATACGTGACTCGGGCAGGGTCACGTGCACCTATGTAGTCATTGTCTTTTCCGGTATTTCGCTATTGGCTGCTTGAACCCAGCACTTCCGGGCGATGAGCGACGGTTTCCAAATCTGGAGAACCGAGCGATCGCGCAAAAACGAGCACGCGACACGTTGCGCGAACGCCCTGTTTTGTCGCTCATAGCGTCGCTGTCGCGTGCATTTTCGCGCTTATGAGGTTTGGCCCTAAAGCTTGACGCATTGGGGGACAAAAGCAACGCAGTGCTGTTTATATTGTGGCATGCCAGCATTATGTATTTGATAGATTAAGTCTTCAAAGTGAATGTTGCATTTTTAATGATAATTATGATTTCTGGGGTTTTCGCGCCAAAACCACGATCTGATCGAGGCACACCATAGTGGAGGGCTTCGGAAATTTTGACTATCTGGTGTTTTTTTTCGTGGGCTGACATCACACAGTACACAAGCCTGTAGCATTCTGCCCCAATTGAAATGCAACCGTCGTGGCAGAGTTGAGCCTGCAACATTGGGGTCTGCATTTGAGCACTGTGACCACTACGCCACTGTAGCGGACAATTCATTTTCATATTTTGTTGAACCATGTAACGTGTCGATAGTGTATCACATTCCAAAGTTTTCAACATATTATGTTAAAGGGTCTCTGAACCACATTCAATATTTTATATTTGTATTTCAAGTAAACATGCGCATAGAGTTCGGAATGCTGTTATTGTCAACAGTGCCAATTCTCGCAGCTATGTGTCCGGTGTAGACTCTTGCACAACTGCAACACTACAACTGAATTTTGGCCTCTCTTAGCTTTAGTGGTCCTTTAAAGTGCTCGTGTAGTCAACCACAATAGTTCACGGACCACACGGGCACTTGCTAAAATGCCTCTCCGTTCCACCTAGTGGTGCGCTACCCACTATCTACTGCATCGCTAGGCCAAAAATGCATTTTCATGTTGTTCACTCACAGATCTCTTGTCTACTGCTGTACAGCATATTGTTAAATCATTGTTCTCATGCATAGCAATAATCTGCTGTAGTACCATTACACTTTTGTCTCAATAGCAGAATCTCAGCAATCGTGTTGTTTCTTTAGTGATGTGCTCTTTGTTAGATATTAGTATGTAGAAAGGGTTGACACTGATAACAATTACATTATTATGCTGCTTGAAATGGAGAAAATACATGTAGTCATGGCTGCCGAAGAGCACCACATTGCGTTGAAATGAGAAATGTTGACAATATTCTTGCCCACTGAAAGAATAGACAAGCCATCGATTAAGGGATGGATGCACCTTGGGCACAGCGCTGCTGGGGAGCTATTGTCGCGGTGTCTGATCCTTAGACATGTCCAATTTGGCCTCCCCTGATTGGCTGTAGCACACCACCTGTTTCCAGTCTTTCTTCCGCAACATCATTTTGTCACCATGCAGCTTTCACTACTCTCGATACAAATTAGAATGACGGAATGCATTTCGCCACTAAAAATGATGCCCCCAGAGATTCCCTTTTGGACACACATCTCGGAGGCCATGCATAGGCTCTTATCACGTTGGCCTTTACATTAGATTTAACGCGGCCGCTTGCCTGACGCGCCTCAAAGGTCCGCACACATTCCTGCATCGCTCTTCAAACGTCTCAACATATTCATACGCACGGTCAGACTTGTCAAGTTTGTTTAAGAGTTCTGTTACTCTACATTTCATCCACTTAGTTTCCTTTTATGCTGGGAATGTGTTGGCATGTTCGGTGCGCTGACGTGGTCAAGCGCACCACGACATCACGAATCACAGTTTTTTGTGTGTGTGTGTGACTGAAAACGCTCCAGCGAATCGGACACCGCGAGAATAGCTCCCCTGGTTATCACCTCGGGCATAGTGGAAATGTGGCTAGGAAACTGTTGGCCATGTGCTTCGTAAACTGTTGCAAATTACTGTACTTTAATCTATGCGCACATTAAAGAAGCTTAGGTGGTTGAAGTTAGTTTGTAGCTGCCCAGTATTTGTAAATGCCTGGCACACCTTTATATATGCCGTACAACTAATATGGAGTGCTCCATATTTGCCTGATGAATTCGATTAGGCAGCCTTGGCTATGATAAATTAGTGTCAGGAAGCTTGCAATCATAATAAAAAAAAAATAATGGGTTGTTAACCATCAGAGGTGATTGTCAAAGTCGAAAACATCTTGTGTGGCCATGAAAATGCATGACAATAAGAGGTCACACAGACTGCATATAACTTGGATTGGTTCTCAATAAAATGGTTTATGAAGCATTGAAGTGGACCTTTCATAAATGCTCTTGTGGAGCACATTTCTATGGTAGTGTGACATCTGTTTTCTCAAATGTCATGGTGGCATCATGACTACTGTTTGTTACAGTCCATGCTCTCTCTCCTCACATTGTTTGGCAACACAGCTGCAACATTCTGCTTAAGGCACTGCACTGTTTTCTCACTTTGACTTCTTGGCACTTTAAAATTCGCATGGGCACTGTCATTTAAATTGCTTGACATTTTTTTTTTACATAATCTAGTGATGTCCTGTTTTTTGATGCTTCAGAAGGAAACGGAGAGACATGATTTTCAGTTGTGCTCACCAGGGTGTTAGAACAAAATTTTTGAAAATTTCGGTTTTAGTTGCATTCCACTGCAAATAGTTCTGTTCTTCTTCAGGAACAAAAAAAAAATTGACAGTCTTGCCGCAAGGGTGCCAAAACTGCCACTTCTTTTTTGCGATAAATGCGATAGCGATAAATTGGAATGTCACATGAAGATCGACGAGCAGCTTGATACTTATAGCTTCCCACTGAAGCACAAAGAAAGACCCTCAGGTATACACAGGACAAGCATGATCTAACAACTATCACAGTTGTTACGCCTTTGTGTTTGAGCAGTTCACTGCAAGGGACAGAACTCTACAATCTTAGATACTTCTTTTTTTAAAGTGCGGAATGACCCCTCTGAATCTCCTGCCATGCAGTGGCATCTGACGCAACGTGTGCATGGTATTTTTTTTTGTGCACGTCTCAAAGGGAGTGTTTAAATTGAACGAAAATGTAGCAGTGTTGCATTATAGGAAACATGCTCAAGCTACTGTGAGATCTGCATACCAGAAGTGGTAAATGGTGTCTATAAATAGCTTGCTGTTATGCCGGTTCATACATGGTGTGTGGCTGATGGTCCAACGCAGCACATTGCAAAGCCAGGGATTGTTAATTTGAATTCCAAGTTGGGTGCCTTGAAATTTTTGTAGTTTATTTTTTTGCGCATATGTGTATGTATGTGTGCATGTATGTGTATATATATATATATATATATATATATATATATATATAGAGAGAGAGAGAGAGAGAGAGAGGTCATTCTATATCAAGTGTACCAAGTCAATTTTCGACCATCTCCAATCATGCTGAAAAAAATCGAGCAGGAATAGACCATTTTCACAAATAGGCTGCCATTTTTTCCACCGCAGCGCTGTCTAGCGTCTGCGATGTTGTTTCGCCGCCACGATGGTGTGTGGGGATCTGCAGTAGGCTATGCAGCGTTAGCTCTCAGTACACAGGGTACTGCTGTTCTTCGTGGTACACGGTAAAAACACAGCAGTGCTTCGCAAGTGCAAAGGCACTAGGAAGTAATTGCTAAACTTTCAGCTTCGATATGGCAGGAACAGAAAGCGGCAGCGACCTACGATACTTTCCCGCGGCGGTGTTGACGATTGACAGGAGGCGAGTAGAATTGCAA